GGTTATAGTTGTCGACAACACAATTGCCATTACAAATTGCTCATTATATGATAATCTGGATCCAGAGTTAGGCACCAGAAGTGCCATGACTATTTAATATATAAAGGAGCAATTAAGGCATAGCTTGACTCGCTAAAATGAATAAATTCTCTTTATAACAAACACCATTTGAGCGTTAACCCTGAAGGTTACAAATGGGTGTGTGCATGAAAGAGAAATAAGAATAATGAGGTGATAAAGCGAGTTTGTAGCCTATGGGTTCACGCAGAGACCCTTAATTGATTTTAATCAAATATACTCTCCCACGGTAAATGGCATTAAGTTCCGCTACATAATACAATTGGCAGAATAATAAATTTAGATATGCAGTTAAATTTATTTTTGAAAAATCCCTGATGGATTCATAATTCTCTAAATGAGGATTTATTTAAGTATTATTATGTGTCATTATTTACTCTTTAAAGGGTTGCGAATGGAGTTAATATCCTCATTGAAGGAATAATATGTACCATTGTGTGCTCGATAAAGGGTTGATAATGAACTTATTTATTATTTATTATCTCAGTCAAGATTGATGGTGTAAACATCAATGAAATATATAAAGAGTTTGATAATGTCAATTCATGTTTAAAGGCTGAGACTTTTGAAATAAAAAGCTTGTGAAAGCTATAGGTATTATCTCGACTTGAAGATCGAGTTTTTCTTTGAAGAATTTTGTTTATATACACCAGTCAGCCTACATCTAAAAATACTTTTTCACATGTCTATATGCATATAAGTGTCATGTTTTTATCAAACTAAAGGTTGCCTAATAATCTCTTGAAGCAGATAAGGAACCTTTTTGGACTCGAAGTCCCTTACTTCATTATCGTTGGAGCACCATTATAGAACCAGAAGTTCCATAATCGCAACATATTTGCGATGAAATTGCTAGCAAAATTTAGTGCTCCCCTTGCAAATGAAGTACTTGAATAATGATTAACATATCCTCTGGTATCTTCGAGATACAAAGACATGTCATTTATGTAAGAAACCATGATACAGTTTTAATAGGCTATTTGGGTACTGACTGTTTTGTTTGATCCCCGCAATGCCAAGTCCAAACTGGTTATACAATGAATTTCCCTAAATGTTCAAAATGAGGACAATAACACTTGTGTTGCACAAATGTTATGTGAGCTCTAGAAGAGCCATAAGATTATTATATATTTACTTTAGTGACAATCCAGAAGATTTGTCTAATCCTTTTTCTCAAATTTTTGAAATATATGTAGAACTTGAAGATTGTTATCTTCAGGGGGAGATGAGAAGTACATTTACTCTAATCAATCCGAAAGATTAGACGTAAAATCCTGAAGATTAAGTCATAAAAGACTAACAGTTGCGCACTATTTGCAACACATCATGTACTCTTTTCCTCACTAGTTTTCTCCCATTGGGTTTTTTTAGTGTGGTTTTTAACGAGGCATGAGTATGATATATGAATGTAAATGGGGAAAAGTTGCAAAATAATTGCTTAAGTAGACAAACCCCAAAATCCTGAAGATTATGTTGATTATGCCCTGAAGGCTTATGGTTGTACTCTTTTTTCCTTAACTAAGTTTTTCCCACAGGGTTTTCTTAAGTTAAGGTTTTTAATGAGGTGACCAATACAATATATGTTTTTACATATATCATGTACTCTTTTCTTCAACTAGGTTTTTCCCACGTGATTTTCCTAGTGAAGTTTTTAATGAGGCATGAATATATTTTCTATTGTACTCTTTTCTTGTCTAGGTTTTTCCCACAGGGTTTTCCTAGCAAGTTTTATCGAAGCAAGATTGTGGACAAATAATGTCCAAGGGGGAGTGTTATAAACATATTTAGTGGACATCATTTGTAATGGACGTAACGGAAGCTTTGATTGCTCATTATGTATATTTATATCCTTTGTATTATATATAGATGGACATACTTTGTATCAAGGAGATGAGATGAGATGAATAAGATCAAACACTTCTTCCCTCTCCATTTTTGTGTATTCCTTCTTCTTGTTCTTCTAACTTCTATGATTATACAACAGTATTCCCTCTTAATCATTATTCATGAAAAATAGTAATAATATATTTTGCTTGTGCAACCACAAAAGAATAAAATCTATTGGTTTTTTTTTAAGACAACAAAAACTTCATAATTCACGGGATAAAACATATATTGTAAAAATAAAGGATGAATGACATGTCACTCCGCACAGCCTGACGAAGAACAGGCCTCTCTATGAGATTCAAATATTTGATAATGGTAATGAGTTTTGGTGAAAATATTTTGCATGTTTGGTAGTAGGGTAGAATTGGAATTGATAGTACTAATTCCCGCGTATGTAGAATGTATGTACTGTATGTAAATGTATGAACAATATAGTAGACGAGAGATTGGGTCCAAAGACTTCTTTTATTAATTCATGAGTGTTTTAGTATCTTTAGAGAGAGTAGAGAGAATTGTGCTTTGGTAGAGAGAGAGTGGAGAATGGAAGAACCCCTAAAATGAAGGGTTACGGCCCCTTTTATAGGCCTAATCGAGATGGGCCTGACCTTGACCCGTTGACTACGACCACGACCCGAACCGTTTGACCCCGACCCAAGCAGGAGCACGGATCGTACGGGGAGCCTGGACCCGGGGTATATTTCCCATCAAGAATGATTAGTAATATTGATGTTTGGTTGTGTATGATTGAGTTAATAACCAAAATGGTCTCTCGATTATGACGTAATTACTAATTTGGTCATCGACTATCATTCTTACCCAATTAAGTCATCAACTATGCAATTTTTACCCAATTTAGTCCTCTGTTAATTTGAATGTTTGTTGACTGTCAAAAGTGGGGATAAAATTATAATTTTACAAGCTTTCTCATTCCTCCCATATTAGCAGCGCTAAACCATGCATCAATACGCTCTGATCGGCTTTCGACCGTCCAAAACTCGTTGAAAATAAAATCCTTGGGCTCTCTGATGCACAACCACTACTTCGACACTTACATGTTTGGAAGCTGACCGAAGCTTATTACTGCATAGTTTGGCACTGCTAAATGAGGAGGAAAGAGAAAGCTTGTAAAATTACAAGTTTATCCTCACTTTTGACAGTCAACAAACAGTCAAATTAACCGAGGACTAAATTGGGTAAAAGTTGCATAGTTGAGGACTTAATTGAGTAAGAATGATAGTCGATGACCAAATTGGTAATTACGACATAGTCGATGGACCATTTTGGTTATTAACTCTGTATGATCCTATAATGGGAGAAAATATTTTAAAAATACAAAAACAAAAAAATCAAGGCAATTGATCGTAATATAATTAATAACATCCAAAACATCAATATGAACAAAAAAAAAAATTCAAAAAGTACTAATCCAAACTTAAAAATTAGATTACTAATAAGATTGAATGATACACCTTTTTAATTGAAGGGGTAATCAAATCTTATAGTTGTGTTTTAAAAAGTTATCATCCGAACATTAAGGGGGTGTTTGGTTGGATGGAAAACATTTTCCATGGAAAATGTTTTCTTAAAAGTGAAGGAAAATGTTGGTTTATGTTGTTTGGTTGGATGGAAAACATTTTCCATTGGAAAATGAATTCCTCAAAGTTGAGGAAAATGAATTATTTGCAAAGGGGTGAGATTTTGTTTTCCACAAGCATTGAGAAGAAAAATAACATGAGTGTACCGTTTTACCCTTATGAAAGTTTCTTAATTACATAGGCACCTATTTATTCATTCATTTTTAATGGCATATTCATCTTTATATTAATTATTCCTTATCTTTATAAACTCAATCAAACAATGGAATCTATATTCCCAGTAATTTCTTTTCCATTAACCAAACAATTGAATTAATTTTTCTGGAATTTATTTTCCATGGAATTTCAATTCCATTTCCTGTCAAATATTTTCCAGCGAACTAAACGGGCTGTTAACTATAATTTCAATTTTAATTCCTAGTGTATAAACCCATGAACCAAATACACCTTTACAAAATAGATCTCAACAAAGACTTATGTAGAGTTTTTGCATCACTTTGCCAAGAAAAATTACTTGCAATTAAACTCTATGCTCAATACAATTAAATATATCTTATATAATTATATCTTTTTAAATATATCTTATATAATTATATCTTTTTTGAATGCTACTAACTCTATTACAATGTAATATCTCTCATATGGGAGTCCAACCCGAGTGTCATTAGACCACAAGGTCTTGGCTTATATAATTATATCTAATAGAAACAAAATTAGTATAAAGTAATACCGTAAACTTTTTGGTTAATATATTTTTAGGTTTCAATCTTATGAATAAAATGATTACTGTCTTGCAGAGCTTAGATCAATAATTCAATGGTCACTCTAGTAATCTTGCTCCAGCAGCATGGTGGAGTGAAGGGAGGGTGTAGGTGATATAAACTCATTGTACGCAGAGTGTATATACAAGGATAAAAATTGAAATGGTCACTAGTCTTAGTGTAGTTGGTTCATTGCCTAACTTAAAGGTCATGATTGGATGCGGAAGTGTGGGGTTTGAATCCCAACGGAAATGGAAGGTCTAAATTGGTTTTTTTTTTTTTGCACACATAAAGATCGGATATTACCGGTGGACTGATTACGCAATTTACGATTTACCTCACTGTGACTTTAGAAGTAAGGTCCTGTAGACTTAACTTAGTCTGACAAACCTGAAATCAACTAATAATGAAATGAAATGAACGAGTCTGCATGAACAACTCAATTGGTCATAGAGGTAAAAATTAGAATGAATGAAATGTAATGAGCGAGGGTCCCACCATATAACTTGGTCAGCTATCAAACCCAATGATGATTGAAATCTCCACTGTAAGAAATCATAGCCGGCTTCCATAGCTGTACCAGACACTGACAGGTGGCGTTTAAGGAGAGGGCCCCCATCCCCCTGTTTACCGGCAACCCATTTTACCAGTTCTCGGCCGTTATTATTTCAGGTGTATAAATACAGTTGCTCCCTCTTCAACCAACAGTGCGCCATTTGCTCAACCAAAAATATAACCACTGAGCTCTGAATCTTAAACTCCACCGGAAAATTCGACAATGCCGATTCACCGGATCGCCATCGGCAACCCCGGCGAGGCCGCCCACCCCGATGCCCTCAGGGCGGCGTTCGCCGAGTTCTTCTCCACGCTCATTTTCGTTTTCGCCGGACAAGGCTCAGGCATGGCTTTCAGTAAGTTTTTCTGATCTCTTGAATGCCGTAGAGAATTTTCATGAAATTGAAATTGATTAAATAGAGAAAACGACACTTTTGTCATCAGAATTGTTTCATTTTTAAAAATTGATTGCAGCTAAGCTGACAGACGGCGGAGCTCCGACGCCTTCTGGGCTAATAGCGGCGGCGCTATCCCACGGAATGGCGCTCTTCGTGGCGGTTTCAGTCGGCGCCAACATTTCTGGCGGCCACGTGAATCCGGCGGTGACATTCGGAGCCTTCATGGGAGGACACATCACACTTTTAAGGAGCATATTGTACTGGATCGCCCAACTCCTCGGTTCCGCCATCGCCTGCCTCCTCCTCAACTACGCCACCGGCGGAATGGTAAAAAATATAACTTATATATATAGTCAAATCAAATAACCATTCTTTTCATGAGAACGTAAAAATTACCCTTTTTTTTATGAGAACGTGAAAACTATCTTGTGCAACAAGTATACTGGATTGTGCAAATGTTATTACGTGATTGTGAAACTTTTAATGTCGTGACAGTTTCGTAATTAGTTTGAACTTAGATTGTGCAATCTGTAATATGTGGTTGTGCAAACTTTACACGCGATACAGTTTCACGATTAATTTGAAATACTGATGATTCTTTACAATAGTATGTGTTTTATACTTTCTGAAAGTTTTTCATCCTAAAGAATCAATGCATCCACCACCACCGGATTTGATCCTGATAGAGGTGTCATGACACAATATAATAGTCGGCATATATTCTCAAAGCATCCTTTAAAATCTGAAAAAATTGGGCATTTTGATTGCAGGAAACCTCGGCATTTGGACTCTCATCCGGGGTAACGACCTGGAATGCGGTGACGTTCGAGATCGTGATGACATTCGGGCTGGTGTACACGGTGTACGCGACGGCCGTGGATCCAAAGAAGGGAGATTTGGGCATCATTGCGCCCATAGCCATCGGTTTCATCGTGGGCGCCAACATCTTAGCCGGCGGAGCCTTCGACGGCGCATCCATGAACCCCGCGGTGGCTTTCGGCCCTGCGGTGGTCAGCTGGACATGGACCCACCACTGGGTTTACTGGCTCGGCCCCTTCCTGGGGGCCGCCATTGCTGCTCTTGTCTATGACAACATCTTCATTGGAGGTCACCCTCATGAACAGCTTCCAAATTAAAATGTTGAGATCGAGTTGGGTTTCTGATCGATCTGCTCTGCTGTTTTAGCACTTTGAACTGTTACGTTCTTGTTGGATTTATTTTTTTTTAAAGTGTTTTTCTTCTTTCCCAGAATGTTCTGTATCTTGTTTGATAGTTAATTGATTGAATGTCTGTTTCTGTTTCATTGATGAATAGGTAAACAGATGAGATAGTAACAACTTCACTGTACTCTAAGCCTCATCAAAGAGAATGTTTAAAATAATAAAAAAAATGGGTCTGTCTACAACATATGAATGTGGGGGCAACATAAACCTGCATTGTCCTCAATTTCTTCCACAAACTTGTAGGAGGCCTTCTTCTTGGATGCTCCATTGTTTGGGTTTCCTTTGCCTCTGTGTCTCGGGATCCTTATCAGACACCTCGGCTGGCTTCCTTTCGTCACTATAACCATTCGTGGCTCGACGTTGAACCCATCAATCAAGCGTTCCTTCAACGAAATGATCCTCTCCTCACCATCTGCAAAGCCTTCCAGCTTAACCAGTTTCAGATGCCGCAATTTCGCCTGCTTTCTTTCTTTGCTAGCCATTTTGCTTGGCTCCGCGTTGAAGCTTGAAGGATCAATCTGCAGAAATGTGGATGCTGTTAGCAAATACCATCATAAAACAAAGTAAAATTGTAGGATGGATGGATTCAATACAGTATAGATTATTACAGTTATAAAAAGTCTCTGCAATGAAGGGGAAAACTGCAGAAAGGACATTAGTGCTGCTTCAATGTTTTGTTCTGAGCTATCGATCCACCACAGCTCTTTCAGCTCGGTGAACCTGAAATTCTCATGCCCATTGCACAGCCATGGCATCATAATTTCCTGCAAAATTCATTTTACTGTAATCTCAATCACTCTAAACAACAACCATTTTAAGGATTAATTGTCATAGGAAGACAATAATATATAATAACCTTAAAGATCCATCCACTCAGTGTCAGAATCTTGACATCTCTCATTGCCAGCAAAAGGGCATCATAGTCCTGGTACTTGAAGCGACCATAGCCCGGGCCTTCTCTGCATTCCAGCTTAACATCCTCCAACGACTCCACACCCTCGAGTGAAAACCAGCAGAGGGGACCTCTGAAGCGAAACGCCTGCAGCTCATAAGCCTCAACAGCGAGAGATTTCAGGCGGGAACAATCAACGATTGTCAAGTTCTGCAGCCCCAAGTCAGCCTCGAGCCTCAAAGATCTCAGCCCCTCGCACTTTCGGATGGTTAGGCTCTCGATGAACCCCAAGTTCGATGCAATACAGGAAACCGCATCACTTGTCAGGTAGTTCACAGAAGTTAAATCGAGATTCCTGACCGAATGTTGTGGAGGGTGATGCAGATGAGAAGTGGTGTTCAGTATTAGCTGCCAGCCGAAATCTCTCGGGAAATCTAGTTTCCCTTTGGAGAAATCGAGGTGGAGCTTGGCTTTCAACCCGAGGGAAGCCACGAGGACAAGGCCGCTGCTGCCATAGCTGTACTGAAGCTTCCTAGGATGCTTGAAGGGACATTCAACATCAAAGTTGGAGACTAAATCCCCAACAGCACAAAACATCCCTTCTTTTGATCCATTTAAGGTTAATGTTTTGCCCCAAAAATCCTTCCACCGGGTCGATAGAGCTGCAGTTTTCACTGCAGAATCCAGGGGAATCAGAGACAGGATCTCACTGAGGATGTCATCTGGCAAATTGCTGATGAAATCTTCTTTTACTTCTTCATCTGAATGATAATCACTGCTTCAAAAGAACAAAAAAAAAAAAAAAAAAGTCAATCTTAACAAATACGGAGTAAGATTTAACCAGACAAAAAAGGAAACATTATAGGATTTGATTACCTTAGATGAGGCAGAATATGATAGTTGCAGCCATGCCTTCTACCATCATCATCCTGCAGGACATGCTGCCTATGACTTTGACTCTTGTTTTTCTTATTCATCTTTTTGCCCATCTTCCCTAAAACCTTAATCAAGAAGGGTTCTTGAGGTAGGACCATATAAAGTTTAAAAATGGATTATTGTTTTTTTTTTTTTTTTGGAGAAAAGACAAATTGACTTGTATTATAGTAATGCCAAGTCAAGAAACTAAAAAGCAGCTCTCATTTCCATTTTTCTAAAACACCCAAAGTGAAACATCAACAAGAAGACAATGAATTCAACATTTTTGGTAAGCCCTATGTGACAATATTAAATGCTCCATATAAAAAAAAAAATGAGAGAATGGTCAAATAAGTCCCTAAATTTTACTTGAAAAGTCAATTAGATCTCTAAACATTTAAATAGTGCAATTACACATTTTAACATGTTAAATTGAGACAATGGAGTTTAAAAACTGGTAAATGACTTGCTATTAGAGGTAATTTCAGTTCAGACATCATATTCGGTGACCAGCAACGACCAAACTGTCGCCGGTCATCTAGCAGAGAAGGCGATCAGTGGTTGTTGATAGATACCCCCGATTTGGCACCCAGCTAGGTACAATGTAGGCAGTCAGGTAGAGGTGCCTAGGACACTTGGCAATTTGGAGAAGAAGGCTGCCCTGGTGGTCTGACGGTCGTGTGGCACTCAGGCGGCTCACTAGTCGACTCGGTTGGGCGACCATATTAGGCCGTCGGTGTGTCCTCGACCGAGTGCGCTCTCGAAAGGCAATTAAAGGCAAATTCAACGGAGATTCTTTCCTTGTACGCCAAGTAACTTCCTTTTCTCACATTAGGAAGATACTCCAACAGTTTTAGAATTTTTCCTTAGTTTATTTTAGTTAATTTCTCATTTCTTGCCTTCTTCAAGGGTATATTCCTTATATAAATACCCCGAGATCAAATTGTAGGGGATTCGGAATTCAATACAAGCAATGTTACTCTGTCCTATTTTTCTCTCATCTATTCTCTCGTTCATTTAGTATTTTACGATAGTATTGACCTGCCGACCAGTTATTTCTAAACCTTAAAACCAACAGTCGCCTTCCGCCGGGGAATTGAATATTATTTTAAAACACCATTTAGCTCACTTAAAACAAAATAAATCAATTCGAAAGGAATTGAATATTATTGTGAAGTGTAAACTTTGTGTAAACGGCAAGTAGTTAGGTTGATGGTGACTGGTGAGTATGTTAATTATTGCATTCTCATATTTCCCCATAACTCAATTATTTGTGTCGTTTACGAAAATCCATTGAGGTTTGTTTCAAAAATAGGAAGATAAAACCAATGTTTGTTCCAACAAGGTTTCCATCGATGTATTCTACTGAACTTTTGAGTAAAATACAAGCATAATATAATTGTCCTTTTAGGACTGCGTTTTTCGTATTTCGACTATCTATCGAGATACAAATAATAAACTATAAATGAAATTTGAAAAATGATTAAATAAAAAAGGCCGGCGTTTTTCGTATTTCGACTATCTATCGAGATACAAATAATAAACTATAAATGAAATTTGAAAAATGATTAAATAAGTCCTTAAATTATACGTAAAATGATAATTAGATTATTAAATTATAAAATGTTTTAGTTAGACACTTATCAAGTTAATGCAATTAAGTTGATAAATTAGTCACATTTATGCAATTAAACCAATTAACTTTAAACTTTATGTATATACAAATTAAATTAAATGTTATATAACGTTATATTTGGCGTTGAGATCTATAATAGAGTAATTTTTTTCAACCAAACATTCTATTTTTCTAATTTTGACACTAATAGACTTCTCTATCTAGATCGAACCTAGATGACGGAAAGGTCATGCAAAGCCATTACTTTTTTTTTTTTTTTTAAAGAAAATTTATGTATTTGCACAAAGATGCCACCTTAGCCTTAACTCCCTTTAAGTATAACATCTACATGCCGTGTAAGTGCATTTTAACTAGTTACATCTTCGTAACTAGCTAAACACTTAATTATTTTAATTTAACGAGTTGATGTGTCTAATTTTAACTTTTTCTTTAAAAAAAAAAAAAAAGAGTTAGGAGTCTTATTGATGTTTCTCCTATAGTTTGAGAGTTTATTTGATTTTTTTTACCTTTAAATTTTAAATTATTATGAATTTGTTGTAACACTACATTTGTTCAAAAAATAAATTGATCCACCATTACTTCGCGGGCTAGTTCAGTTGGTTTGACCAATTATCATAAGAATAGATGAAAACTCTTTGTATGCATAGTGTACATGCATGGGGAGGGGAGGGGGGGGAAGGGGGGGGGGGGGGGGGGCGCACTGGAATGTCTAATGTATCAAAAAAATTGATCTACTATTGCTACTAAGGTTGGGATTATCCCAGCCAATTCCCCCTTTGCAATCCCATGTGACAAAGCCACATCACTATTTTCTCTTTTTTTTTTTTTTAATTGAAAGGGATTTACAAATTTGCAACTTCTGCAAATTTGCAAATCCCTGAAAAAGCTGTTGCGGCTGCTGCCGCGGCAACTTTTGTATTTTGTATTTTTATTTTTTTTGTTTTTTTTTTACTTTTTAATATTTTAATATTATTAATAATATTATTTTAATATGTTGGGCCCACTTTTGAAAGTTGATTAAATTTGTAGGGATGTAGTGTAAATAGTAGATGATTTGCAAATAGGATGATGTGGAGGTGGGACACATTTTGAGAGTGGGAGAGATTTGCAGGGATAATGTTAGCCTAACGTTTTCACGATCTTTCTCTCACTCCCACATCCACATCCTGCGGCAAATTATATCATGCACCGCGCGTCTTTTTTTTTAAATGAAAATAAACAGTGTTTGTTTTCCGCCGTTTCGCACCTTTTTGCAAAAAGTAACCCTGTTCTTCAGTGTCATTTTGTATACACTGCAGTGTCAGTTCAACACAACTATAGTTTCATTTCGATATAACTATAGTTTCATTCGATATTTATAGATTCAAATATGTGAAAATATTATTTAATTTTATTTTATATACACTATAGTTTCATTAAAACACAATTACATGATCATTTTGATATGATTACAGCTTCATTGTAATATACACCCAAATATGTGAAATGTTATTCAGTTTCATTTTATATACACTGTAGTTTCATTTCACTATAACTACAGTATCATTTTGATATAACTGCAGTGTCGGTTTAGATATACTGTAGTGTCAGTTGATGTTTAATACACCAAACAAGCGGACTCCGTTAACTATAACGGCGGGCCGTTTCTTTACTTAAAGAAACGGCGCCGTTTTTGACCGCGGTGCATGTGCACCGCGGTCTATGATATAACGACTACACATCCTGCATCACCAATTCACCACCACTATTACCCGTCAACATCATTTTTTTAGAAAATTAATTAAATAAAAGAGATAAACTTTTGACTTGTAACCAAAACACCAGAAATATAAAAGATAGGGAAAAGGGGCAAATAAGCCCCTGAACATTATACAAGAAGGCAATTAGGGAACTTTTAAAAGTAGCAATTAAAGACATCAACTTTTTATTTCGTGCAATTAGACCCAAAAGTTGAATATTTACCGGCAATTGCAAGTAACATCTTTGTGTCATTTTTATTAAAAACTTAATTAATTTTAAAAAAAAAAAAAAAAAAAAAACCTTACCCGTGAAAGGCAGCCATGGCCGGCTGCCAGGCTGCTTCCTCCTCCTTCTTCGTCTCCAAATTTGGAGACGAAAAAGGGTCCCCTTTCCCTTCTTCGCCTCCAGATCTGGAGACGAAGAAGGAAATGATTGTTATTTAAAAAAAAAAAAAGTTAAAGCTTGAAGGCAGCCATGGCCGACCTTCTTTGTTCCTTCTTTGTTTCTAAATCTGGAGATGAAGAAGGGTCCTCCTTCCTTTCTTCGTCTCCAAATCTGGAGACGAAGAAGGGAAGGATTTAATAATAATAGTAATAAAAAAAAACTGAGAGGTTGAAGGCTGGCTGCCTTGTTCTTCTCTCTTTCTTCGTCTCCAGATTTGGAGACGAAGAAGGGGAAGATATTAAAAAAAAAAAAAAAAAAAAAAAAAAGAGAGAAGAGGTTGAAGGAATCAAGGCTGCCTTCTTCTTCTCTGGCCGCCGGATGGAAGGCGGCGGCGAACATTTCCGGCAACAGCCACCGGAAATGTTTATTTATTTACTTTATTATTATTATTATTATTATTATTATTATTATTATTATTATTATTTATTTCTATTTTTAATTTTAATAAATGCTTTTTAATTTTTTTTTTAAAGTTTGCATACGTGGCAAGTTAAGATGATGCCACATAAAAGGTTACCTGCATTTACAGGTAAACATCAGGTTATTGGGTTTAAATGCACAAAAGTTAAAAGTTTATGTGTTTAATTGCTACTTTTAAAAGTTCGGGGGCCTAATTGACTTCTCGTATAAAGTTCAGGGGCTTATTTGACCCTTTTCCCTAAAAGATATATTTTTTAAAAGAGTAAATACCCAAAATGGTCCCTCAACTATAGCTAAATTCACAAATTGGTCCTCGACATTCAATTTTAACCAATTAAGTCCTTAACTTTTGCAATTTTAACACGATTTGATCCTCCATCTATTTGACCGTGATCTCTGAGGATATATATGTAATTTCCCCCCCCCCCCCTCATTCGCTGCCGTGACACAATCTATCGCCCAACTACAAGCCACTGCCCAGCTGCCCTCATTTACTGCCATGACACACTCCACCACTTAACTTTCACCTACTGCCATGACACAATCCACTGCCCAAACACCTTCGCATAATTCATCATTGCCGGCGCTACAACCCAATTTGCAATCTTCATCAGGTCCAACGCCACAAACAACCGTGTCTGAGTCTATTGGGCGGCGTCGCAATTCTTGTGTCCAACAAGAAGCGCGACTCAGGTCGGACCAAGTACTCGCTCATGCACATGGTCCGCACGCACAAGGGTGCCGACGATAAAGCATACCGCTGTGTTTACAAGCAGGAAGATCCGCAAGGGAAAGTCGGAATCAACCTCTCAAAAGACCTAATGGTGATCGCCGGCGAAGCCCTCAAATCCAACATAACCACAATCGACCCACTCGTTCTCCCGCCGTCGGAGCAACTCCTCATCCTCTTAATCGACCGGAAAATCTTCAATCCCAAATGGAAACCCTACATTCCCAACTTCAAACAGGACTTCGAACACTTCTGCATCAACGTCGGCGCCCGCACCGTCATCGACGATCTCCAGAAGAACATGCAGCTTTCGTCGGAGCACGTGGAGGCCTCCAGGATGATGCTGCACCGGTTTGGAAACACGTCGTTTTCTTCACTCTAGTACGAACTCAACTAAATTGAATCCAAAGGGAGGATGAAGAAAAACGACAGGATTTGGCAGGTTGCTTTCGGCAGTGAATTCAAGTGTAACAGTGCGGTCTGAAAATGCAACCAGAACCTTAAAAACACCGACGATGGACCATGAAATTACATATATATCCTCAAAAATCACAGTCAACAAACGGTCAAATAGACGGAGGATCAAATCGTGTTAAAATTACAAAGTTAAGGACTTAATTGGTTAAAATTGAAAGTCAAGGACTAATTTGTGAATTTAGCTATAGTCGAAGGACCATTTTGGATATTTATTCTTTTTAAAAAAAATGAATATTATTCAAAATTTCAAAAATAAGCTATAAGCCTATAAATAATATTTGTGAGAAAATTTCAATTTTGGTCCACTGACTATTGGAGTTGTGTTAATTGCAACACTTGACTTTCAAAAATGTTAATTTAGTACCTTGACTATGCAATTCTTATCAATTTTGGTCACGCCGGCCAAATTACCGGCCAAATGTGACCGGAAAATTTTAACTCATTAAATAAAAAGGACAAAAGCGTCATTTCATGTTTTTTTTTTTAAAAAAAGATATTAAAAATTAGCAAAATTTTCTAGCGACAAAACCAATCCACATCGTCGCCGCTGCCGCTTTGTTTCCCTCTTCTTCATCATCTGCCGCCGCGGAATCGTCGCAGATTCATGAAAAAATTGATAAAATTGACATGGAAAAGATGGGGGATATAGATACCGGATGAGAAGAGGGTAGTTGATAAAAGGGCATAGAAAAACCCCGCAGCCATGGATGGGTTTCAGAGGAAAAAACGGATTCAATGTCCCAGTTCGTGAACGATGAAATCCCATGTCTTTTGGGTTAATTTCTTTCGTTTATCTACTGGAATGACTTTATGATTTCTGTTTTTTTTTTTTGTTTTTTATTTACAAACAAAGATTTATATTTATTCATGTCCCAGTTTTGTTCGATGGTGATTTGAAGTCAAAGCTACTGTTCATAGATTTGGAGTCTTCGATAAAGACAAGGATTTCTGGCGGCTTGATTTTCCGTTATTGTCAAGCTTTTCCGACGATTCCGTAAGGCTTTCTCCGGTGTGTTTGGTGTTGTGTGTTCTGTCCAAGGTTTTCCGGCGGCTCCCGATGTATGGAATTTCTTAGGCGATCCATGCTTTGGCTCTCCATGTTCCATGGTAACCGGAGGGGAGGGCATTGGACTTGCAGTCACGATTTACCGGTGAATCCAAGAATCAAACCCCATACGCCTTCATCATTAGATTCTCTGTCAAGAAGGGTAAGAAGATTATGGTTGGGTTCGCCGAAATTGCGGGAAGGGAATGGGTGGTTTCCAAATTGAAGAAGAAGAAGAAAACATGAAATGACGACTTTGCCCTCTCCATTTAAGACTAATTGTTGATTTAAAATTTTTCGGTCACATTTGGCCGGTAATTTGACCGGCGTGGCCAAAATTGATAAGAATTGCATAATCAAGGTACTAAATTAACATTTTTGAAAGTCATATGTTGCAATTAACACAATCCCAATAGTCAGTGGACCAAAATTGAAATTTTCTCCAATATTTGTCAAACAATGTGGATTTCAATTTTATGCTTCAGAAATCAGAATAGATAAAAAGACATTACGACGTCGTTAGGTTCAGTAGGGGTTTTTGTGGGGTTTTGCTCTCCGCCCTCCTTTACCTCTGCAAGACTGCAACGATTTTGCTGTTCTAAACCTCTCCTAAAATTCCCAGTATCAAAGAAGGAAGATCACTCAAATTGAAGAATGGTTTTATCGAACAAGAAGCTCAAGGAGAAGCTAAGGGCTGCGAAGGCCGAATTGTTGGCAGAACAACAGGTTTCAGGGGGAGACCCAAATCCTAAAACTGAGGAATCACTCAAAACCATTCTGAAATCTGTGGCCCAGAAACCCAAATTGTCCAAGAGGGAAAAGCGCAGGGAAAAGGTGCAATCTTTACTGGAAATTTCTGCTAGTATTACGGAGGTTGGGGGAGAGAGTGGCAGTGGAGATGTGAAGGGGGAGAAAGAGGGAGGTGGGTCAGAGGAGAGGAATAAGAGGAAGAGAAAGAGAGGGGATAAAGATGGGTTAGAGAGTGGGCAGGAAGTGAAGACGGCGGAGAAAAACACAAAAAAGAAGAAGAAGAAGAAGCTGCAGAAGAAGAGTAAAGGGAAAAAGGAGGGAAATGAGGAACTGAAGGAAGGTGTGAAGAATGGAGAAGAAGGAGTTTCACAGGCAATTCAGGCTAGTGAATGGTATGTTATTATGAAATGGAAATACCCAATTTGTTACTGTACTGTCTTTGAGGTTTGATTTTAGGATAGTATATGAAATTGGTACATGTTCTAACTGTCTTCATCATTCAAATTTACCTTTTGCTAGCAGCTTGTTGTGTGAGCTGAGTTATTGTGTTGGTATATGATTTGACTTAGAGTTGAAGTAGCCTTTTTTTCTTTTTCTTGCAACCTGTTGTTCTGAGTACAAAAGGCCTGGGTAAGGGCACAAGCCTAACCAATATTGACTTGGTAACCACAAGATTACAAATTCGACTCTCAGCGGGAGCCGGGAGAGGCATATTGGCCTTCTTAGTTTGAGCCGGTTAGACTGATTTACCTCTTTGTGATCCTTTGCCAGCTAGTGTCACAAGGCGGAGTTTACCTAGTGCACACTCTCGGATAGTGGCTGCGGGTTTCCCTTGTCACTCAAAAAGGCCTAAGTAATGCTGATGATGTTATTCTCTGCACATTGTGTCTTTAGTCCAATCCAGATCCTAGTCTGTCTTGATTGGTAAAATGATGCTAGTTTAGAATGTGTGTGTGTGGCATAAGTTCAAGCAATGGCAGTCTACATTTTGTAGCGAAGCTGAGGGATTGAACAGGTCTGCTTGGGTAAGGACATGAAAATTTGAACCTGGGAAATGCGAAGGATTATGTGGCGATTTACCTTTCTTTAACTCATTGGAATATAATTCATGTGGATTTCTTGCTTAGCATTGTTGCGCCTAAGTTCAATTTCCCGCTTGTTTACGTTGTATGAAATATGATTCCTGTTGTTGTTGCAGTAAAGAAAACGCTGAAATCTCTACAAAAGTTTATGTTGGAGGCATCCCATACTACTCCAACGAGGATGATATTAGGAGTTTCTTTGAAGGCTGTGGCACCATTACTGAAGTTGATTGTATGACATTCCCAGACACCGGAAAGTTCAGAGGCATTGCCATCATCAATTTCAAGGTAGGGTGTGCGCCTTTTGGGATTCTTTGTTATTATGTTTGCCATATCAAAACTTTAGATAAAAGATTCGATTGGTAACCCTTCAACACTTGTTTGCATTTGGTTGTGTATTTATGCATGTGATAAACCATGTCTTCAGCGCAGCACTGCTCGGTCTTAAATACTGAAAGAGTCTTACACAAAGTGTATCTCCGGGCTTGGGCTTGGGCTTATGCTTATTGGTTAACCTCTGTGGTGTACGACTTGCTTTTAGGTGCTGCTTACCGGTATTTCAAATAATAAGTATTCAACTGCAAATGGGTGGCTTGGAATATGCTAATGATATCCAAGTCTTTTTATATGAACATTACCTTAGAGCAAAACCAAGCTAATATTTATAGTCGTTTACGTGATTAAATATTTCTTGCCTGCTGATTCTTAAATATTTGTCTTTTGCTGGTAGAAGCCATGAATCTTGAATGTCCATTGAGCAAATTTTGTATCAAAATGTGACGAACAAATTTCTTTACCCATGTAACATTGAAGTCGATTTTTACTTTGCCAAGAATTATTTGGAATATCAGTGAAAACCAATTTAGTCTAAGGTTCTGGTCTGAAAGGCGTGGGTTCCAATCACACACTCAACAAAAAAAAAAATTCTTAGTCATCAAAAATAAAAATAAATAATATGAATACCGATTCTTAGAGGGTGAATGGTTCTTACTATTTCCTGTAAAAAGCGAGTATTGAAATGTATATATCCTGCATAATGTTGTCGATTATCTATTAACGAAAATGTGTTTACAGACTGAAGCAGCTGCTAAAAGAGCCTTAGCCCTTGATGGATCTGACATGTAAGTTACATATTAGCTTGATGATTACTTAACTCTCGGCCTCGGGCCTCGTGATCATTTTGATGAGTGTAAAATGCTAAAACCCGATGCAGGGGCGGACTGTTTCTGAAAGTCAAACCACACAACTCATCTAGAGTAAACAAAGTATCTAACTTCTCCCCGGCTGTTGTGGAGGGTTACAATAGGATCTATATAGGAAATTTGTCGTGGGAGATAACCGAGGATGATTTGAGGAAGCTTTTCTCTGATTGCAACATAACAGCCATCCGATTTGGCGAAGACAAGGAAACAGGGGAATTCAAATGCTATGCCCACGTTGATTTTGGCGATGGCCTGTCTCTAAATACAGCATTAAAACTCGACCAGACGGTTGTTTGTGGAAGGCCTGTTAGGATAAGTTGCGCTGTTCCAAAGAAGGGAGCGGTAACCAATGCAAGATCTACCCAAAGTGATACTCAAGCAAAGAACGTTGACGGGGGGAGTTCAAAAGCCACACCACAAAGTAATCGGGTTGACACACCACCGCAGAATAGTCCAGTGGACACGCCACAAAGTAATCAGGTCGAGACGCAGACACTACAAAGCAATCAGGCGGACACTGCTGCAATGAGCGCGCTTAGTGCAAAGATAAGGAGGCGGACGTGTTATGAATGCGGGGAGCGTGGCCACCTTTCTTCATCCTGTCCCAAAAAACAAGCAGCAGAACAAGGAAACCAAGCTGCAAGCTGATCTTGGAGGAGATTGGTAAATTTTGTTTTCTGTTTTATGTAGTTTCAATACAACATTACTCAAAACAAATCACACATGTTGTCTTCTATCACCTTTGATCACTGTTTGAGAAGTCAATGAACTGAAAAATATGATTTTTTTTTTTCATTAACGTACTATGGATTTATTAATTTTTGAG